TTTTTTTTTTTTTTGCTATCAAAATTGTATGGCTTCAAACAAATAATGAATGTTAAGCACCTGTTTAAAGATGGTAACCATATTTTCTGTTGTTTTTTTATACTACAAATATCCCAACATTTGTATATTTACAATTAAAAAAACAACATAAGGCAGAAACAAAGATCTGATTCTCATTGACATTCTGCTTCTATGTTTATAAAAAAATGCTAGGCAATGAACGTTTTTGGGTAATAGGTAGCAGGAGGGGAAGCAAACAATATTTGAGCCGTGTCACGACAAAACCAACATAATGGGTTTGCGACCAGCATGGATCCAGACCAGCCTGCGCTGATAGCGAACAGCATGGATCCTGATCAGACTGCGCGGATGCGCAGGCTGGTCTGGATCCATGCTGGTCGCAAACTCATTATGTTGGTTTTGTCATGACACGGCTCATTTTATTCGAAGCCTATTTTTTACAATTTTATAGCTAAAATATTGACTAAGGATAGAAAACGTAAACAAAGAATTATGGGATTTTTTTAGGTGAAAAGGAAAATGTTGAAATAAATCGAACCTTATCATCTGCTGAAAATCAATGTGACAGGCCTCTCACAAACCACTCACTTATAATTACATGTAGTTAAATGTATTCCTAACAATTTTCCAAATTTGTTTGAAAGGGAATATTTTTTTGGATGAAACTTGTATCTATAAAAAAACTGTTGTTGAAAAGAAAAATGTTGAAATTAATCGAGCCTTATGACCTAAGACTGAAAATCAAAGTGATTGGCCTATCACAAACCACTTTCTTAAAATTAGTTAAATGTATTCCGTAACAATTTTCCAAAATTGTTTGAAAGGAAATGCATAAGACTATCCCTCGATTACAGAATCGGTTAATTGATAAAAGTATGCTGCAAGCAATGGTTACGTCAGACGTGAATAAGAGCGAAACACTTTAAAGCTGCACGCCTCCAAATGAGCCAAACTATTTCAAGAAAATCAATATTGAGAAAAATGCGCTAAACTTTTAAGAAAGGCAAAAATATTCAAGATCCAAGATATATTTTACATGTTATATGCGGTTTAATGCTGATTTTGCAGAATTTTATCACCATATTTCTATTGCGTTACTAACGCAGTAAGAACTGTTTTTGCATATGTGGACCACTTTTTGGTAATTTTCGTGGATTGTAAGCGCCGTTTAAAATATGTAAATTACTATTTTTGGATACACAATATTTAACTTTTAAATACATTTCCGATTTTTTTTATGAAAATAAGCATGAATCTGGAAGCGTGCAGCTTTAACCCTTTACCTCATATATACGCGAAACAACGCACTTTCGACTCCCCCCCCCCCCCTTTTAGACCTGAAATAGTGAAAAAATGTCCTATTTGGGCCCCAAACACATGTTTTCGTTTGAGAAATGTTGCTAAAAAAAGTGAGCACTTTTTTGGCGCCGCCCCCCATCCAAAAGATACATCAGGGGGTTGCCAGAAGGATAATGTGCCCCCTTCTGTTAGGGGGGTTTGAAGGGGGGCGGAGTCCCCCTCATCGCCAAGAAAATTTTGGACTTGTGAGAGGCTTAAAATGACATAAGGACGATCATAAGGTAACGTGTAACCAACGCTGAAAAGCCCTTGACTCTATCTCAATCCCTTGAGAAGTTGCAGCACTTTGAAATAAATTTTGATGGAAAAAATCGAGGCAAAATAGTGATTTTTGGCAATTTTGAGATGTCCCCTCGTTGCCATGGTAACAGGAAATTTAAGACTGAGCATGTCGTTACAAAGGCAATGGTCCAGTTAACATTTGTGCCAAGTTTGATTAGTATTGAAGCATTTTTCATAGTTTCATAGCAGTTTGAACTTGTAAGAGGAGGCTTTTCAGTGAAAATGGCCATTTTTCACAATATGCTCATGGGGGAAAAGGTTAACTAAAAAAAATTTAAATGTTACAAAACAACATTTTTTTCACCAAAATTAGGTAAAAGACCACATGTTTACATGGAAAAACTAGATTTTAGGTGATTCCAAAGTTTTTCATCATTTTTTGTTAACCCTTAACCTCATATATACGCGAAACAACGCACTTTCGACCCCCCCCCCCCTTTTAGGCCTGAAATAGTGAAAAAATGTCCTATTTGGGCCCCAAACACATGTTTTCGTTTGAGAAATGTTGCTAAAAAAAGTGAGCACTTTTTTGGCGCCGCCCCCATCCAAAAGATACATCAGGGGTTTGCCAGAAGGATGGTGTGCCCCCTTCTGTTTGGGGGGTTTGAAGGGGGGCGGAGTCCCCCTCATCGCCAAGAAAATTTTGGACTTGTGAGAGGCTTAAAATGACCCCAGGTCGATCATAAGGTAACGTGTAACCAACGCTGAAAAGCCTTTGACTCTATCTCAATCCCTTGTGAAGTTGCAGCACTTTGAAATAAATTTTGATGGAAAAAATCGAGGCAAAATAGTGATTTTTGGCAATTTTGAGATGTCCCCTCGTTGCCATGGTAACAGGAATTTTAAGACTGAGCATGTCGTTACAAAGGCAATGGTCCAGTCAACATTTGTGCCAAGTTTGATTAGTATTGAAGCATTTTTCATAGTTTCATAGCAGTTTGAACTTGTAAGAGGAGGCTTTTCAGTGAAAATGGCCATTTTTCACAATATGCTCATGGGGGAAAGGGTTAAATAGAACACTTATCTCAACACTAGCTTACTCGAAAGATGGACACCGATATTCACGCTTATACAGGAAATTTTTAAAAATGAATGGTTGTACAATCTTATTAAATAATTTAGTTTGAACAATATTTTATTTCTTTTTATACAACATAAATATATACAGTAAGTATATACAATCACACTGATATATTTCGCGGATTGGAAAACAAGTCAAATGTGACTTATGTAAATTCCTTTCCACACATAATGTACTTGCAATAAAAAACATACACATTTGTTAGAATAATACAGAAAAAAAGGAATTCAGATTAAATAATTTATGATAAAGTGTCATCTCAAATTAAAACGATAACATTATCAGATAATGATTACCTTGAAAATGACGAAATCATTATTTTTACTAAAAGACGTGTTATAAACAGTAAGAAAGTATGAAAATACGAGCATAATATTATCATGGTAAATCCTTAATCATTTTCCCGTAACTGACATCCCGACGTCGCCTCTTTTTCATAATACAATTCAACGTATTTACAAAAGTACTACCTTTAATACTTAAATATGTTTTGCTGATATAGTTTCCAGACACGTTAAAGTATTTATATCAACAAGGAAATTACGCGAAATTTCAAATCTTGACGGGAAAAAGAAAAGCTGAAGTGTAGGCAACTGAAGACTCGTGGGAATACATCAACTTTTAACCTCACAGAGAAAAAATATATGTCAAATATAATACGATGATGTAAGTGCGTTTTTTTTTTCTAAGATTTAATGGTTTTGTTTGTTTTTTAAAATAAGACCAGGCTGTATGTTGTGTATGGTTGTTTATTTTTCATGAAGAGCGAGCTTTTTCATAACTCATAATACAATGCTCCGTCTATATCGATTCCACCTATATCGAGTCCGTCTATATCGAATAAATCTATTTTGGATCCGTCTATATCGAATAAATTTATATCGTATCCGTTTAAATCGTATTTAGATGTTACACAGAAATACGGAATGGAAATGATCTTAGAATTATTTAAGTTAAAATAATCGACTTCTTTGTTAAATGACCTAATTATTTATTGTGTATATTTTAGTTTATTTACTACTAAATCATCAACAGTCAACTGGATTTTATTTTTCATAATTAGAATTGAAAGATAGATTTGTGTATGTAACATCTAAAAACAATTAAGAGCCAAAATTAAAATAGAAATACCATTTATAGGACACTTTACGGAGGTAAACCTAATTTAGTTATTTCAAAATCAATCCCAAGAGGAATTTTGGTCTTGAAACATATTATTTGGAATATTTTTGGAATTCTTGATTTTCTCTAAACAATTATTACGTTTTATGTAGCTTTAGATGTTTATCATAATTTAGCCGCGTCACGACAAAACCAACATAATGGGTTTGCGACCAGCATGGATCCAGACCAGCCTGCGCATCCGCGCAGTCTGATCAGGATCCATGCTGTTCGCTCTTACAAACCCTATAACAAGTAGAGAAACTGATAGCGAACAGCATGGACCCTGATCAGACAGCGCGGAAGCTTGTCGCAAACCCATAATGTTGGTTTTGTCGTGACGCGGCTCATATATTAAAATATTACCTTTTCTGGTCAGAAGTAGAAATCATCATGTCCATAATGCACAATATAGAAAAGTGTAAATACACTGTATTTTACATAAAACAACTTGGAAACTTAAAACAGAAAGAAAATTAAGAAATATTCTCAGGAATCAATTGAAAATTGTATTTTTGTGCTGTTATAAGCTCGATTTGAGTGAAAAGCGTTGCAACGCTTTTTTAATTTTGGGTTATTTTTCGCAATTAGAAATATAATTTAGGAAAAACAGATTGAGCGAATGATCTTAAATATTTCTAGTTCTGCCGTGTCTAAAATCCGTAGTGTGGTTCCTTTAATATTGTCTTAAAAGTTTTATTCTGGTCCATGAAAAAATGACCAATGAAAATCATTCCACCACAGATAATCAAATAGGAATGGTACCGCATGCCACTCAATAAAGTCCTATTGTTTTTTTTTTACTTATCATTTAGGAATACCGTGCGGTAAGCGTTGTACTTCGGGCGATCTGGGTTCGATTCCCGGACGGTGTAGGTCACTTTCGTTGTGATTGATCATGTAATCCTGTTTACGGTCATCCGCACTGTACCTCTGCTCTGGTATGTACAGAAGTTATCAGTTCCTGGCAACTAGTACTAGTAAACCGATTGGCAGAGCTGTGTTCTGATAAACTCAGTGTGGCTTACTGCAGTAATCCCGAGCGAAAACTTCCAACACCACCACTTATCATTTAACCAAATAGTTTTGTTAGTCTGGCCTCATTTTCATCGTATAAAACAGGTTGACCTTTCGCAGCAGCGTCTCTTTGATGAATGAGAATCATGGCGGCGTTACTTCATTATTTTTGGTTTATGCTCGCCCTTCTACAATTGAGCGAAGGTAAGATATTTTATTTGATCATAGTTTGAAAACCTATAAACATGTATTGTTTGATTTCATCCACATGTCATTCATGAATGCACTATATATAGCACTTATTTAAAGCTGCATGCCTCCAGATGAGCCAAAATATTTAAAGAAAATTTAACTGTAGAAAAATATTCTAAGCTTTTAAGAAAAGTAAAAAGATTAAAGATTCAAGTAGTAACTTATGTATTATGGGCGATTAATGAATGATTTTTGCAGTATTTATCATCATAATTATTTCCTTTGTTCACTTCACAATATTTTACTGTCAAATATATTTTTTTAAATGTTGATGAACAATATTATGAATATGGAGGCAAGCTTTCAATATTCCGCCCTAGTTCGGTTCTGTTCGTGCATTTTTATGATAAATTATATGAAATATATAATTAATGTTTTGAAAAGTGCCATTAGTTTAAAGTATATTGTTATCTTTACAAGATGCATTCCACAATTCTGTAATTTCAAATGTTCTATATAAAAACATATGTCACATATAATTCTGTCAACAAGGAACATCATTATATATTTTTAACCCAAAAAGAAGGCAAACAGGCTTTGCAAAAAAATATATTTTTGATAATTTGTAGTTCAGTCAATCGTTTTTAGCTTAACAAACATAAGAAATGATATTTTGACAAAAAAGAAAAATTCTACGTCTTAAGGAAGGTATCTAAATAATTCTGAAAAAAATGCTTTAATTTTTCCCTCTGAAAAATGTAAATTGAACAGATATTAAATTGTATTGAATTCTAACATTGGAAAAATAGTTGAAACTCTATGTTTAGATATTTTAATGTAGAAGACATTTAATATTTGCAATTTAGATGCAAAATGTTTAAGAATAATGTATTTTAATAAACTTTGTATTTGCAAATGAAGAATGATAATTATAAGGCAACATTAGATATTTTATTGTTGTTTTTTTTACTTTGCTGTACAATAGAACATGAAGGAGTTACTATGACAATATTAAAAAAAAAATGGAATTGCTGCGAAATTAATTATGTCATTATTAATTTTAGCCCGATTATTCTCAGTTTTAAATCGATAGATTAAAAAGTGATGCGTTTACTATGCAGGGGTTAACGCTTGGTCTAAATTTACCTGTAACATGACATGACATAACATGTACCTGTAGGTCGACTTCTAAAGGGTCGGTGGTGGCCAACACTACCAAGAAATTTTACTTAAGTTAGAGGTGTGTTTTGACTATACTTAATATAATAAATATGTACAAGAGATCAAACAGATAGTTGAGCCGCATCATGACAAAACCAACATAATGGGTTTGCGACCAGAATGGTGCCAGACCAGTCTGCGCATCTGCGCAGTCTGATCAGGATCCATGCTGTTCGCTATCAGTTTCTCTACTTGTTATAGGGTTTGTAAGCGAACAGCATGGGTCCTGATCAGACTGCGCGGATGCGCAGGCTGGTCTGGATCCATGCTGGTCGCAAACCCATTATGTTGGTTTTGTCGTGACGCGGCTCATATCTTTTTCTAGAAAATAAAAGTGAAGTCGTGGCTTATGAGGGCTATTGACACATGAGCTAGTGCTAGATAATGTTTTCAATATGAAAATTAGGCTGTTAAATGAAAAAAAGTTATTTATTGTACATTATGAGCATGATAAAGTAAAGCACCTTATATCTTGTATATTTTTATAAAGGCCCATTATGTCTAAGAAATGCAAATCTTGTTATTTTTTAAACACCTGTTTTTTTTATACCTTTTAACGTTAAAAAAACACCACATTTTCCATATACATGTAGATTAATTTTGTATTTTAAAATGTATTTTTTGTTTGTTTGTTTGTTTTCTTGTCATATTACATGCACAGTATACCATCTGTATAGCAATGAACATAATTATTGTATGTTTTTGCTGAACTTGGACACTTGAAAACTGCACATTCAGCACAACTTTCTCCAGTTGTTAAACATCAAATATGCTCTAAATATCTCGAAAAAAAGTGATCCCTCGGAAGCATTAAAATAACAAAATAACATGAAAATTGCAGACTCGGTTTGATTGAGCCTGTACATGAGACAGTGCAATATCCCTCACGCCCCCTAGCACCGGCTTTAGCGGCACTCAATTTTCAGCACTTAAACATTATTAAACATATGTTTTGGCATTTCTTAAGAATTTAGTAGATATGGATTTTTGAGACATAGTGTACCTTTAACTTTTCAATTTCAGTTACATTGTATATTTGATCGTGAAGAAAACATGAAATACAATGAATATTGTTGTTCATTATATCTTTTTAATACATGATTGATTACAATTTTACTCACTGAATATCTTCTTAATTCAGGAAAGGGAAGCTCATATGACGAGGCATACCTGAGAAACGCACTATTTTCTGACTACGATAAATATATGGCACCAGTTGGGGATGACGATGGACCTGTTGTTGTCAAGCAATCACTACATTTTGTTAAAGTGGTCTCCCTGGTAACTATTAAAACACTACGGTTGATATAATTATTATATTATGGTATATCTTTATTATTAAAAAGCATGACTAGCAGCGGCTTATTTCTAAATCACAAAGAAACAAGAAATTTTACATTATTACAGTAATACTAGATTTGCTCTGTCACGCGGGTTAAGGATTTTCCACATATATGTCCAAAGTATGCGTACCTTCTTATGCAAAAGCGCAAGGGCTAGAGCTTAAATAGTTGGTATGCAAAATTCGCTTATGAGTTTCAAATTATTTTTTAAATTAAAGGCCTAGGATGAAATTGTTCTGTCCCTGGACTCACTTGTTTTTCTAAAGTTTTATTTACTGTTTAAAACCTTAACAACTCATCCTCCGAAAACTTCTATATAGCTTTAGCTCAGATATTTGGCATAAAACATTGTCTAGTTGACCTATTACAAGTTTGCTCAAATAATAGCACTGGTATCAAAATTAGCCCTCTGAGGTCATGACCCAGTGACATACTCTTTGGATTAGATGCACATTTGCAGAGGCAAAATTGAATTCTGATATATCAGTTGACCTACAGCTATAAAATTTGGAATGTTCCAACAGTTTCCAGTGTAGATTTTAACATTGATATCAATTGACACACTTTTTTACCTAGTGACATACCTTTTAGCTCATCTGAATGTTATCTATTCTATAACAGACAGTGTTTGGTGAGCGATATAAGAGATAAAGTAATGCCGTGAGAGATTTGATAAAAATTATCACATTTTAGTGAGATAACGTAATGCCGTGAGAGATTTGATAAAGTTTATCACATTTAAGTGAGACAAAGAAATGCCGTGAGAGATTTGATAAAATTTATCACATTTTAGTGAGATAAAGTAATGCTGTGAGAGATTTGATAAAATTTATCACATTTTAGTGAGAAAAAGTTATGCCGTGAGAGATTTGATAAAATTTATCACATTTTAGTGAGATAAAGTAATGCCATGACAGATTTGATAATGTTTATCACATTATAGTGAGATAAAGTAATGCCGTGAGAGATTTGATAAAGTTTATCACAATTTAGTGAGATAAAGTAATGCCGTAAGAGATTTGATAAAGTTTATCACATTTAAGTGAGATAAAGTTATGCCGTGAGAGATTTGATAAAATTTATCACATTTTAGTGAGATAAAGTAATGCCGTGAGAGATTTGTTTTAGTGACATAAAGTAATGCCGTGAGAGATTTGATAAAGTTTATTACATTTTAGTGAGATAAAGTAATGCCGTGAGAGATTTGATGAAATTTATCACATTTTAGTAAGATAAAGTAATGCCGTGAAACCTTTCATGAGATTATCTTTATCAGATAATGCAATACCGTGATAACTTTGACAAGATACAACAGATCATAGAGATATCTAGTAAATTAGTTATGTCGTGAACCACGTGAAGTGATGCCACGGATGTGTCGGCAAATTTTGGTCCGCACCACAGGCACTGCGGTATACCGTACCCCGGATATTGCTCGATATTATGAGGACTTTCTTCCCATTTCGCGACTTTGAACGGGGAACGAAGGTAAGTTCAGCGACGATATTTTCCAAACTAATGGCTATTTTATTTATCTCAACGGGTTTTATATATCTAGAGGTATTGTTGTAGCTCTAAAAGACGTAAAAGTATTACAGGTATTTGTAAAATTGATAAAACTACCCCTAAACGATCCGCTGCTCACTAGAAAATACTGACCGCGATACTGTAGAATCATTAGAAATTATTACATTACCAATATAAAAAAAATGAATCGAGCAATTTTTTTATTCTCAATCCAAGTATGCCTTGTCCAAATTTCAGGCAAAAAGTGTGAAAGTACAAAAAGATACAGGCCAAAAAAGATACAAGAAAGTGTACCGAGTATTGATTTTAAGTGTACAGAGTATTGCAAAATAGCCCAACTTTAGTGTACAGAGTATTGCAAAACAGAATGAGCACATTAGTATGGAAAATCTATATTTTTGTCTAATTTTCACGTCTGTTTATCGATTCAATTTCATTTTTCTGATAATGTACTGTTTATATGATATTTATTCAAATATTTCAGATTCAACAATGCATTCTCAGTGTTATTAAGTACTGTTCTTTTCCTACGGGCAAATACCGGTACAGAGATTTTATTTCCCATTTGATTGAAAATCACACTATGGATGAAATAAAGTGTGTGCAGGGTCGGAAGCAGGGTAGAACCATCAAAATTGACGATAAAAAAACTTTAAATACATGTCCCAAGAAACTTTGATCAAGGAGACACATGCATCTCTGAAAAGGACAAGAATAAAAAAACATATTTAGATGACATTAATAATAGGTTTTTACAGGGCAAGTTTGCCTTAAGAAACATATCGACGCACTTCATAAACTATTGGCCCGAGGGCTTATGCCGTCCAAGCATGCCGGTATCGTCTTTACCTTTTACTACATGAGCATAATGCGAAAAATGGCTGTTTTCATTGAATTATAATTAAGCCTCTTGTTACAAGTTCAAACTGCTATAAAACTATAAAAATGCTTTAATACTGATCAAACTGGGCACAAATGTAAGCTAGATAGCCTGTGGAATAGCATGCTCAATTTTAAATTTCCAGTTACCATGGCAACGAGGGGGGGGGGGCGTCTCAAAATTGCCAAAAATCTCTATTTTGCGTTGTTTTTTCCTATCAAAACTGATTTCAATGTGCACCAACTTCTCAATTGATTGAGATAAAGTCTAAGGTTTTCGGCGTTGATTATACGGTACCTTTAAATCGACCTGAGGCCATTTAGCCCCCCACAAGTCCCAAGTCTTCTCGACGATTTGAGGGGCTACTGCCCCACTTTAAACCCCCAAACAGAAGGGGGCACATCCCCCCTGTATAACCCCCTTGATGTACCTTTTTAATGGGGTGGCGCCGAAAAAGTGAACACTCTTTTAAACAACATTTCTCAAACGAAAAAAACAGTGTTTGGGGCCTAAATAGCGCATATTTTACACTATTTGAGGCCTCAAAAGGGGTGGGGTGTAAAGCCTTCAAAACACGCCTTAATGAGGTAAAAGGTTATAAAGAACATAACCTTTTTTTATTGCATCTGCTGCCCTTTATCATAATCTTATCAAAATCCATTACTCGGTTTTTGAGCTGTACCCGCTCGGCAGTCATACGGTAACTCATTGCTAAGGCGCAACAAAATTTCACGTGCAGACGGTCTGCCGTTGCTAGAGTGCAGGGGCAAAATGCCCGAAAGTTACTTTTATATGGATTTTTGGCATAGTAGGAAGTCGGTGGCACACTTGCTTAATACCGTCTAATATTGACAATCTTGAGGCAGTATTAATTTGACGCACTTTGGATGCATTTTTTTACTATTTAAAGTAAGATATGCAATAATTATTAACAAATTCTGGAAAGGTTGATCCTTCGATAGCAACGAGAACATTTTAAACACAGAAAACTGAGATTGTTTACGAGCAGGAATGAAAATCTGGATTATTCGCAGATGTTTCCAGTAAAGTACCTCCGAATTCTGCATATTCTGCACATATAGTGTAAATAAGTATACACAGTAAGAAATATTTAAAATTAAATGTGGTAAATACTTTGTGTTTACTACTTGCATTTACTCTTTATTGATAACCAATACTCGTTACACTAAAAAGCAATACTCGTGACACCGGCGGGCAACTCCAAAGCAATACTCGGTACACTGACATGTGTATTTATTCTCAAAATGCACTGTCATCTGAGGTTCTATTGTTGATTGAACATATACAACATAAACATTATCATCGTTATCACATTTCACTCGATTCAAGTTTTTCTTTTAAGGATGTATATGCACAAAAACATCAAATTTGACTGATCCGAGCTCATTTATCACGTGAGCAAAGAGACGAATTTTACCTCCTAATTACATTTCAAAGCTATTTCTGAACATTTTTGGGGTTTCAGTAACTAGAGAAATTATCGAAGTATTTGTTTTTCTACAAAATTTATATCTAACCAATTCAAAATGACTAAATATCGTCACTAAACATACCTTCTTTCCTCGTTCAAAGTCGCGAAATGGGATGAAAGTCCTCATAATATCGAGCAATATCCGGGGTACGGTATACCGCAGTGACAGGGGGCCCACACAGTGTTTGGATGGTATATACTGCTTGATAGTGATCTTAAAATGAGTTTTTATCATAACCTTATAATATGTATATAAATATAGACAAGGGGCATTACTCGCTAAATAGAGAATTTTCGATCACCCTCAAATTCATGCGAGATTTTCCACTAATTAAATAAAAAATTCCAAAAACTATACTGCGTTGCATAGCTTATATAATCCACAATTGATAAACACTAACTCTATTTTGATTCCCTTAGCCCATTTTAAGAAATTTATTCAAAACCGTTCACTTCTGTCACAAAATTGCTTAGTCGTACGAGATGTCGCAACACCAAATTCCACGGGTAAAATATCAATTTTAAAAGGGGTAGGTACAAATAAACGCATGCAAACAATAACACAACATAGTTTCTATTACCTACCTGCGCAAATAGTCGTGAAGCGCTCTATATTCGTCTGTTTCGAACGAAATCTTCAAATCAGAGCAGAAATTTGCTTCGACGTAGACATCTTGGGGAAACCCCGGTCACGTGACCAGCCGGTGTATCGAGACCTTTCATTGGTTCGGTAGGAACTTTGTTTATAACGACAACCAATGAAAGGTTTCCATACACCATGACCAGAACTTCCAACATGTATTCGCCGAAGCAGATTTCTGCACTGATTTGAAGATTTCGTTCGAAACAGACGAATATAGAGCTCTTCACGACTATTTGAGCAGGTAGGTAATAGAAACTATGTTGTGTTATAACTGGAATAAGTAGTCTTTTTCTACAGACCTTTCAGCATTGAAGGACATTATTTTTTCTGTTCCAGGACAATGACGTTTTAATAATGCAAATTTGGGAATTCATGAAATGGAGAGATACTCGACTGCAATGGGACCTTAACACTTTCAACATCAGTACATTAACGGTGCCGAGTAAATGGGTGTGGCAACCGGATATCTTGTTAGTTGATAGGTAAGTCTTTTTCACAGACAGGCAATTGTATTAATTTCATTTACCTTTTTTAAGTCTTTTAAAAATATGATAGACTAATTTTTGGTTATTTAAGCAAACTAAGTGGGCAATAAGGAAAAATGAAACTCTAGGTAAAAAAGGAGTTAAGAAAGGAGCGCTTGAACTCCAGACGCTTGGACATTAATCTGACAGGAAGTAGTTTAACATTCTACCGGAATCGTAGTTTGGTTCCCGGTCGTACTTTGCTACGTAAAAGTATCGATAACGATAGTGGTAAGGGGCAGGTAATCCAGACTACCGCCCGGAATCGAGGGAAACAAAGGCCACCCGTGGAAGCGATAAAAGTGGTCTGTATAGACAAGTGATATTTATTAGGACGCTGTTTGTTTCAATTAAGCAATTAAGGGTCATCAAAAACTGACCTTTTTTGCAGTGTTATCTTTATTCAGAGGTGGTTTTTAACGCAGGTTTCACTGTATGTACAATACCGGTATGATATTATAATTATGGATTGACTATCTACAAAGGTCAATTTACGAGTACTAATTGTATGTCACATTGTGATGGTAATGATGGATTATTATTGTTATTATTATTATCATAATTATCATTATTATTATCAACCTTTTACCCCATGAGCATATTGTGAAAAATGGCCATTTTCATTGTAAAGCCTCCTGTAGCAAGTTCAAACTGCTATGAAACTATGAAAAATGCTTCAATACTGATGAAACTTGGCACAAATATTTACTGGACATAGCCTCTGTAACAGCGTGCTCATTTGTAAATTTTCTGTTACCATGCCAACGGGGCCGTTTAAAAATTGCGAAAAATCACTTTTTGCATTGTTTCTTTACATCAAAACTGATTTCAAAGTGCTGCAACTTCTCAATGAATTGAGATAGAGTAAAAGGCTTTTAAGCGTCGGATACTAGTTACCGTATGATCGACCTGAGGTAATTTTTAGCCTGTCACATGTCCAAAATTTTCTTGGCGATGAGGGGGACTACCGGCCCCCTTCAATCCCCCAAAACAGAGGGGGGACACATCCCCCTTCTAGCAACCCCCTGATATACTATTTTGATGGGTGGCGCCGCCTAAAAAGTGGTCATTTTTTAACAACATTTCTCAAACGAAAAACAGTGTTTTTGTTCTAAATAGGGCATTTTCCCTCAAAAAGTGGGGGGGGGGGGAAGGGCTAATAGCTGTCAAAACACGTCTATATGAGGTTAGAGGTTAATATGAAATTAGGATATATATTCCATGAATAATTGTTATTAACATGATTAAACAGAACAGAACAGAATTTTTATTAGGCTATATTAAGCCTATTAACGGGGAAGTCGGTTAAAAAAATAGTTAATTTTTCCGTTCGGTATTATATGCACCGCTTCCGTATTTTCTCGGAATAGCCTACTCGGCGATTATTATTTATCCGAAAATTTGCGATTGTCCGTTATCGGAATATCCCGCCTATTATTTTTGAATTATATTGAAAATGGCACCGCCCGACTAGAACTGACACTGAAATTTTCATTGATAGATATAGAATTCTATGTATTCTTTAATTGCTTTTTTATTTGATTTTCTTTTAAATATACACATGTAGTCTATAACCGCATTAGCCGGGCAAGGCTTCGCGGACCCGGCCTTTGACTTCCCCGTATGATTATAATTATTAATTTTTATTATTATTATTATAAATATTATTATTATTATCATTATTACTATAATTATTATTATTATTATTATTATTATTTTATTACATGCTTTTCGGTGGTTTATAGAAATATATCAGTGATATAAAACTGGTAATTTCACTGTTTGAAACAGTGAAATTACCACTTTGATAATTTCACAGTTTTGAATTTAAGCCCCTTACGTTGTTTAAGTGAAAAACCAGCGTGCACAGTTCTGGGTACCAACTTAATGACGTGATGACGTAAATGGCGTCACGTGGTATTATCATTTGGCGCGCTTTTCATTCAGTATTAGATTAAATGTCTTTTTTAAACGTTTCTTTGCATGTAATAAAAAGAAAATTTGTTAAATTTAGTGTAAGATCGAAATATATTTCACCTTGTGAACACCAAATGTTCATATTTCACTCGTAGCTGCGCCACTCGTGAAATATACCTTTTGGTGCTCACTCGGTGAAATAATTATATTCCGATCTTACACTGAACTAAACAAATATCCTCTATATTATTATTATTATTATTATTATTATTATTATTATTTTTATTAAATTAGGTGCTACCTATGGCGCCGAAAGCTCTTATGAATTATAATTTTAGCATATAACATGTTTAGTGTTCATGTAAACCAGATCTTTCTTGCTGGTATTTTGTACCGTGAACAAAACCATAGGTAGCATCTAATTTCATATTATTATTATTAGCAGTAGTAGTAGTAGTAGTAGTAGTAGTAGTATTTCTCTTCAGCTATTTAGTCTTTAGCTTATTTTTTGCCTTCACAAAATGAAAATGACAACACAGACACATTGTTCGTCGCCTGACCTGATGTTATCTAAGTCGTGATCGCAACTACTCGGTCCGTCCCGTCAGTCTTCGAATAAGGTTATTACAGATGATAGCCGAGGTAGTTCCGAATGCTCTGGAAAAGGACCGCATATTGCGACGCATAAATCCGAATCCGTACCGGCTTTGCATATTGTTTGTCCGATTTTCATATTATGCGAGTGGGTGGTCTTTAATTATATAATCTTAATTTAATATATTATATTAAATTTGACCAGTTATAAAAGTAACAGATTGGATTCAATTGATAATATATTTTTGAGGCCATATACTCGGATAATACTAAAAGATATTTAGATGTAGCAGAAACGTTTTTCACGATTGAAAATATGCGCCGCAGTCTGCGGTCCCGTCCTCGAGTTCCTATGAACAAAACTTAAAAGAAATAAATATAACAGGTTAGATTTACTATATTAAATGTATCAACCGACATATCGCACAAAATTCCAGTCTTATACATTAATACAAATTTATATATTAATTAAACTTTCAGCCTTGAAGAATACTCTGGTTTCCCGTCCGGTGATCTGCTGGTTACCATTTACAACGATGGTAAA